AAATAAAATGTAAACCGACCAAAAAGGCGGCAATATTCAGGAATATAAAGAACGGGCGCGCAGGCCCAAAAGAATGTGAACGGGCACGCAGGCCCAAAACAAACATCAACGAGGCACGCAGGCCCACCACTATCTCACACTTCGGCTTCCCCCGAGCTACCATCACCAACAACAGGAGAGTCGGGCGGAGGCACGACCTGACCGTCGATAATCTGTGACATATGGCTCGCCCCCTCGGTGTTCAAGCCGGGATTTAACAAGGAAAGTTGGCTGACCGCGGCTTCGAAGCCGTCCGCCATAGCCCCGACACAGTCCCCCTCGAGAAGTTGAATACGATCGACCAGTTCCAATCGACTCCTCAGAAGGGCTGTGTCCTCCGATTCATCCTCGGCAGGAAGCATAGCAGCTTTTAGATCCTCGACCTCCTTAGCAAGGCGTCCGTTGTCGAGTTCTAGTCGTTCACGATCCGCAGGAAGGAGATCCCTCTCCTCGGCCAGTTTCCCGGAGCTCTCTCTCTCCAAAGTCAGCGCCTCCGTCTCCGCCATCAGCAGCTCAGCCTGCTCGCGGAACATCTCCTCGGAGCGCTCCAGGGCAGCTTTCAGCTTTCTCGAAGTCGAGGTGAGGGCAGCTTTCTCCTGCTCTAACTCCTTGACGCGGTCAGCATCCTCCCCCTCCTCGGCCAGCACAACGGCCATTTCGACCATCTTCACCAGTCCGGCCATGTTGGCAGCCAGGTGTCTTCTTCGGCTTTCCTTGTTCATCCGGCGGATGGTTTCAGCTTCGTCGGGATTCACAGATAAAGGAAACCCCTCGAAGAAACCCTCCTCCTTAAAGCAAGGGGGCAACCCGAAGGACCTCACAGCACTGGAGTCCTCGTCGACTTTCGGCTGACTTTCCACCCGAGTCCTTTTTCTCTGTATCAGGTCGGTGCGTGGCTCGACCTCCTGAACATCCGAAGTCCCTCCTGAAGCAGCCCCCGAGCTAGGCGGCGAATCCACCCTCGTCGCCTGAGATATGCTCGGGCTATGTGGCGGGCCCATTCTCGTCGCCTGAGGAGGTTTCACCACCCTTTTAGTCACCTTCCTGTCACAAGACAGCTTCAAGAGCCTCTCCCTTCGTCCAGCCATCGAACCTGCACGAAATAACCCGGGTTAGTGCCGAGCAAATAAGCAAACAAATGATAAGAAATTCAAACAATAAACGACCTAGCAAACGCGCAGCCTGCCCGAAGGACTGGCACTCCACGAGTGCCTTCGTGTCGATCGGTCGAGCCTCGAAGGTCGGATAACCTTCATCGTCCAGAATATCCTCCCCCTCCCTCGTGGCCCATCTGGCGGGGTGGAAGCTATCAACATATCGACAAAGAGTGTCGTAAGCCTTCTCGTCCTCAGAGCTCATATCGCCCGCGGACGTATGGTAATACCCGGTACCGTGCTCGTAATGTCTCGAGATCCAATGCACGGGAAACTTGGCCGTGCGCCCTAACACCGGACGTCATTCGCCGTCCAAAAGAGCCTCCCCGTCATCGTCGGTTATGACCGCTTCATCCTCGTACACGGACTCTAAACCTGCTGTGGTTACCGGCCTCACAACATACCATTTGTCTTTAAAACCCCGCACGGAGTCCATGTACATCCTGAAAAGTCTCTTCGACTGTTTCAGGGAAACCCAGCTATGCTTTCCACCCCGAGATTGGCGCTGCAGGTGGAAGACCCTGAAGAAGAGGGGTATGGTCGCCCCGATCCTCAGAAAACGACAAGTTAACTCAAACGCCCGGATAAACGCGAGCGAGTTCGAATGAAGCTACGACGGGGCCAACCCCAGATGGCTAAAGACCCCGACCTGGAAATCGTTGAAAGGCAGTTGTAACCCAAGGTCTTTAAAAGCAATTTCGTACATAGGGAAACTGTACTCGGGGAACACCGAGCAAATTCGAGCAGTAAAAGATGGCCGAGTGACCACGAAATTCTTCTGGAAGTCGGGCTGGTCGTGGCCCTCCTCGAGGATAGTGTAGGCCCTTCGGCTGCGCCGACTATAAACTGAAGTTATCCCTCTAGGTTCGGCACCCACCCATTCCAGCAAGGGGTCATCTATGGTGTCGACCAAACTGACATTCTCGTCAGCACTTGTCCTTCCACCTCGAGCCGTCCTGAAGAGCAAGGTTCGTCCGCCATGGTTACCTACAAAGCACGGGGAAACCAATCAATTGGGCGCGAAACCACACGCTCGCCACAACGGACGAGATGAAGGGCACGACAAACCACGTCGCTCCGCGCGCGACGGCATAGTTGGTGTTTTGGAACAAAATACAGCAGCCATCTCCCCGACTCCCATATACCTCGATAGGTCCTTCTACAAGTCAACCAATTGAACCGACAACTCGGTCACTCATGAACACGTCGACCTGGGATATGAACATGGCGAGCAAAATCATAAAGCCTAGTGCTAGAACTATGCATTTACCGGGCACGATCATGAATTTGGCGCCCTGAATCATGAAGACCCCGGGCAACACTGCAGATTAAACCCTAAACTATGCATTCACCGGGCACGAGCATGCGTTTACCGGACATACGCGTGGGTTTGACGAGCTAAACATGAATTTACCGGGCTAATCCTAGGCTTACGGTCTCTAAACGTCTAAAAACGAAGAAAAATCATGCATCACAATAGAAAAACAGAGGAGACAAGTCACTTACTTGGAATCAAGAAGTAGATTTGACGGCGGAGGAAAGGAATCGGTGACGGAGATCGCGGCGCCGCTATGAGAATCTGGGAAGAACAACAGCAGCAGAAACAGAGCGAAGAGGAGAAGCGCGAAGAGTAGAAACACGTTCTGGGGCCCAAGGATCCTATTTATAGTGATGACGTGGAATACCAAACGTCACCTCGGGCAACCACGGATTCCCCTCCTCGACGCGCAGCTCCCCTAGGCAATGATGACCCTATCCTCATAGGGTGGCGGCACGGTTCCCAAAAGAGACCTCGCGTGCTCGACAAGCGCAGGTTGTTGAGGAATCCCCGAGCATTCCTCGCAAGGCACCTGTCCCCGAGCACGACACGGGGAAACCCTCGAGTACCCCACGAGGAGCTGCATCTCTTGCCCGAGTACGGGGCCCCGAAACGGAAGCAACCTAAGATCAAGTCATGACTCCTAACTCAAGGAACCACGACTTGGGGGGCTCCTGTTCTGGACTGGGCCGGGCTGGCCCAAGAGCAACAATAAAGGCCCAATCCAAACGAACCTGCTAGGAGTCACGCCAACCTAAGGACCATAGCGTGCCCGACATATGTCACTGGGTGACAACCCCGTCCTCGTGCTGCCCAGCTCGACCTCAGCTCGAGCGTTCCTTCGACAGCGGACACGGTCCACTACACTCTCAACGGGACTCCGAAAAGACCGCGTCCCTGTCCGCCCGCACTTCACGCAGAACATCCAGGAAGGGGACCACGTGCGGGTCTCCACTACGCACGTAGAACCTGGCAGTTCCTCCATTGGGCCAAACCTGCCCGGCCCAATGAAGGAACCTTGGTCCAGCTCTGGGGGCTATAAATACCCTCTGTTTCCAGAGGGTCAGATATTCATTCTATCACATATACTCACACTTTTGCCTGCTCGTACTCTTACATACTTCAGCATCGGAGTGCCTTGCAGGTACCCACCACCTCGTTCAAAACTTCAGCTCGGAGCCAGCCGTGACGGTCCAAGTCTGATCAGGTTAGATCAATTTTATTGTAATATTACCAAATATTTTGTTTGTAATTCTTATCTTTTAGCACCTTATGCCTTTTTTTTTTCAATCAATCTTTTTTAGAATCCTATCATTTTTTCAGTTTCTTTCAAAATGCTTTTTTTTCTGGTGCTATAATGCATATCTTTTATAATCCTTTTATCTTATGCCATTTTTTCTCTTATTTTTTTTTTTTGTAATTAATCTTTTTTTAGCAATCCTATCTTATTCCATTTTTCCACTTTTTTTTCGTACTTTTTAACCATCCTATTCATATTTTGCATTTTCAATTTCTTTCAAAATGCTTATTTGTTGTTATATTCCTTGTCTTTTATAATCCTTTTTATCATATGCCATTTTCCCCTATTTTTTTTGTAACTAATCTTTTTTTAGCAATCCTACTCCATTTTTCCACTTTTGTGTAATTAATCTTTTTTTAACATCCTATTCATATTTTGCATTTATCTCAAAATGTTATTTTTAGTAATACTTACAAAAATATTTTGTTTAGAATCTTTTTAATTTATCTTTTGCAGCAATCCTATCTATCTTACACGATTTTTCCACCTTATTTTTTTGTTTTCGTAATTTATCTTTTTTTAGCCTCCTATCATTTTTTCCATTTCTCTCAAAATGTTACTTTCTTTAATACCTACACCAAATATTTTGGTATCCTTATCTTTAGAATCCATATCCCCTTTTTCCATTTCTTTTAACACTATCAAAATCATTTTATCATTTCATTTAGACTTATAAAAAAAAACAAGTCAATTGCGTCTTCATCTTTTTAAACCAAAAAAAAAAAATGGTGTCAAATATGTTGTGTTCCATTACTCTTCCCACCCTCTCAAAAAACAACAAAAATCCAAAATTTACTGAGGTAAAATGGCAGTAGCAGTTGGAGTTTGAGCATCAAAAGATAAATTCGTTTACAGAAACCATTTTCCCCCTTTCACTTAGGTGTACAATCATTTAACAATTTCTTTTCTTCAACCGGACTTTTGATATTCTGTCCTAAATGGATCAAATGGCTCATTCAAATGCCTAATTTTTGGTTTCTTAATATAAAACAGAAAAATGAAAAAAAGCATAGAAAACCATGTAATTTAATTCATAATTTATATTAAAAATTGACTAATATAGTCCCAACAAAATACCAAGACTAGACTAGCAATCACCTCACTGTGACTGTCTCTAAAACACTTTAACCAATCCCAATATTTATAATAACAATAGAAAATATCTAATACTAAAAAGTATCCATTCAAATCAGAAAACCAACATGGCAATCACCACTCCCACAGCCATCAAAACACCCCCACCTTGCAAAACATCAGCACCACTAGTTGGACTTGGAGCAACAGCTGGCCCTTCAACACCACTACCTCGTGAAGGAGCAGATGCAGGTGAAACAGGAGCAGCACTTGAACTTCTTTGGCTTACAACCAACACAATAACCTTCTCACCCTTTTCACAGTGACCCTTTTCTCCACTTATGTAGTAGTATGGACCAGAATGATCAAATCTCACCTTTGTTTTCCCATCATTGTACTTCTTGATTGGGTTTGAGGTGTTGCAGCTGACATAATCCTCTTTGCTCACTTGCAAAACAGAGTCTTTTCCAGCTTCATAGTTAAAAACTGATGAACAAATGGATGCAAATTTTGTCAAGATTACAGAAAGATTGAATTTTTAAAGATAAAAAATGAAAAAATTGATGGGAAAGTGAAAATTACTGAGATGATCTGCAATGCGGAAACGAACAGTTTCAGCCCATTTGTTGAGAGAGTCAGATTCAGAGGATGGAACCTTCCAAGCATCAGGTTTACCACCAAGCAAGTAATCCTTGGGTGCTGCAGCAGCAAAAGCAAGGACAAGAAAAAGGAGCAAAAGAGAACAAGAAGAAGATGAAACAGCCATTGTTCTTTTTTTTTTTTTTGGTTTGGTTTGTGTTTCTAACAGAAGCAAAAATGGGTTGGTTTAGGAATGTGGAAAGTGTGGGTTTTGGAGTGTTGTATTTATGGTGGTATTGAGGAAGTAGCCGTTGGTATTCTGCTTGGAAATAGTGAAAAAGTTCTAGATTATCAATGAGGTGGGGGCCATTGGGTTTTGTTTTCTACTCTAACTTTTTGGGCATAGAGAGTAACGGTCAAAAGTCATCATAATATTGGTCTTAGTTAAAAGAATTTGGAAAGGTAGAAGAGAAGATAGTAATTAGGAGTAACATAGAATTATGCATTGTATTTTATGAATTTGCTTGAATTCGATGGAATCCTATGTGTTTTTGTTGAATGGACTCTCCTTCATGCTAACTAATACTCCAAATACCTTAATAATTCAATAAATCTAAAAACTATTTTTTTAATTTTATAATATAGAAGGAACAAAGTGAGTACTTATTTTAAAATTTTAGAATAGTATTAATATTTTAATAATATTATAAAAAATAATATAGGCGATTTGTTTTAGCTTTAAAAAAATAGATTTTTTTTTTATATTTTTAAAAATTACTTTTATATAAATACTTTTTAAAATATTAATTTTATTTATATTTTTCTTTTACAAATTAAATAATTATTTTTTATAATCTATAACATGAATATATATATTATTAAAGAATAAAACATAGTTAAATTAACATTTTTAAAAAAGATGTATTTCAAAAATATTTTTTTATGAAAAATTATTTGAAATAGTTTTTAAATTTATGTAATTTTTTTGAAATTTTAATATCCTAAAAAATTTATAATAAAAGAGGAAAATGTAAAATTTAACTCACTAATATACAAAAGGATATTTTGAAAAATTATCGATCCATTAAATTTAGGTGAATATTTCAGTATCCTTGAATTTAATTGGGTACAGAAATCTTCATCCAATCAAATAAGTTTGTTGATTGTCATGTTACACTTTAAATTATTTTACTTTAAAATAAATTAAATATTTTAATTAATTTGCACTAAAAATACTAACACCCAACTAAGAATTTGCTTAAATTTATCACAAATTATTAAAAAAGATATATGCTTGTAAATAAGTTCAAAGACTTGTAAAAAAGGGTATAATAGATTAAAAGGAATATATGTTTTAGCAACAAAAAGTACATATATTTCATATATAGTAGGTACACCATAATTTTGATATTCTAATTTTTTTTTTTTTGAATGTAACAATTTTATTTCAAACTAAAAAATAGTTACACGCACATCGATACAAAGATCTAACTCTAAAACAATAAAAAAAAATCTAAGGCAACATAAGATTCGTTAGATAATTCCTAATTCTAGGCTTTACCCAACATCTCTGAATAACAATATCAATAATCCTAGAATCTATACAAAGGTTATCTTTTTGGGGACCAAAACAGTTCAGATTTCTAAACCTCCAAGCTTCGTAAACCGTTTCTGCAAACGCCACTTTCAAAACTGCAAATTTGCTTCCTATGCAATATACTACCTTAGCAAAAAGTTTACCGACTATGAAATAAGATACTTACTGCTCGAGAAAACATGTTGAGCTTTAGCATGGGCTACTCGCCGACTAAGACAATATATGTTGACTCATACCACTTTGTTGATATCTAAAATGGATCACATAAGACAATATATCCCGACTAAGACTAACTTTATGGATCAATTCCCGAACCAGGACGGAGCAACTGTCTACATGACAAGCATTTCCCTCAGAGTCTAAATTTGACAAGCATTCCCTCAGATACTAAATCTGACAAGCAACTACTTGAGCACCTTCCCTATAGGTTCATTCTAGAAAGCATTCTTCAGATGCAGTCAAGCGTAGACTCATTCTGATACTCTTATTGACAGTTACCTTGGATGACATCTATAAGCCCATCTCCGGCGATATTCTGTCACCTCTCCGAATGACATCTTTAAGCCCATTCAAGCAATATTATAAACCGACAACGTTACCTCCTGCACATGCGAGTGCAAATTTCTGGCCACTTAGGTGTTCAATCCTCTCTCACCTTCAGATCACGAATGGAGGACATTTCAATCTAACTCCTCATGTTTAAGAAGATTGAACAAGGGCGACTGTTGTACCCCAAAATTTTCCCTCCCTTCTTACTCAAGACATTCTCCTAGGGTTTTCAAATGCTCAAGGTTGCTTAAGAATTGATCAAACAAATTCTCCTCATAAGCAATGAACTTACAACTAGGGTTTCACTTTTCTCAAAGAAGTTTGGGTTTACAAGACCTCAAGTGGATGTCATGGTTTATTATATTTCCCTAAGGAGATTCGTGCCAAGTTTCAAGTCTTGCATCACAAGTTTGCTCAGTCAACTGCTCAGATGATTGAAAATCAACTGTATTGGATAAAAAGTCAATTGTGATCAGCATACAGTCAAACCTCAAGATTTTTGGTAAACATCAAGGTTTTGAGTTAATATTCATCATTTGATCAAGGGTTGATCATAACTCATCAAGAAAACTCTCAAATCATCAAAAGTCAAAAGTTGCTAAATTAGGGTTTTCTTAAGGAGAAGTCAACTGAACTTTGACCAAGCATAACTTTCACATGCTTCATCATATTTTCCTCAAGCAAAGCTCATTTTGAAGGAAAATCAATTCTCTACAAGATCAAGTCCAAAAAATGCTTCATTTGAGAGATATGGACCAATACATTATACGTAAACATAGAGATTGTAGAGGACATCTTGATCTTTCCAAAAAGTCTAAGATTACCTTCAAACAATAAAAATTGAGAGAGTTATGGCTAGTGCAAGTCGGAAAATTTTGAGCAAATGCATGAAACCAAAAGTGATCAAACTTAGAATTTTGGGCTAACGGGCTATTATTTCAAGGTCCATGCGTGTTATACACTCCAATTTGAACCTCAGATCTTATTCATACACCCCTTGGATTTTTATTTTATTTATTTTTTATTTTTATTTATTTAAAATTCAAAACAAGTGAAATAAAACAAGAGCTTTTAGATAAGGTCCAAGCCCACTCTTGGTTTGACCTAATTCAATGCTATATATTCCATTCATTCAGACAAGAGCCACACGAACCCTGGCCTAAAAGAACACATCTCTAAAAAAATCCAAAAATCATTCAAATTAGGGCAACGCAAGAAACCTATTTGCAACCGTTTTCAAAGCATCTTAACGCTCCCAATCAATCTCTGAAGTGGTATAGGGTAAGGGCTCGAAATAGCATCCCATGCATCACCGGTTTCTCATCATGCATGAATTTACATTCTTGTTTTTCTTTGTGTTTTAATAGTTACTAACCTTACTAATGTGTTTATGAGTTATCAATATGCAGGAAAAGCCCATTGTATGAGTCCCATGATGGTTGGATCATGAACTGTCGTGTTCATACCGATCCATGTTATTTTCCTCATACCTCTCAAACTAGCGCGAATTATCCAAAAACAATCGGTCCATTAAATTCGCAAACCTTGATTTATGGGGGTAAGGTCCCTCTAGATCTCTAATATGTGTTTATTTTACAGGAACGAAAAAGAAGGTCGCCAGAGAAAACGACCGGAGCTAGGGCTCTGGCGCCTCTCCGGTCCAGGCATTGATTTTATAATATAATCGTTTCGTTTCAATAATAACACTGGATGTATCACCACCCCAATGGTTAAAATACGCGCGCTAAGTCACTAATATCCCAGGGCACGGGTTCGATCCCCGGTTTTGCAAAAAAATATCTTATTTTCTGATTCTTGCAGATTCAATGTAGCACGCACCACGCATCAACCATGCACCTCCTCAATCATCACCCTCCAATCACGCTCAGATCCAGATCCAATAGTCCAGATCTGATTTCACGCAGCACCCTCAACGGCCTCCGACATTAGATCAAGCGTTGGGGCTTATTGGGCCTAAGATATTTCTTTCAGCAACCCCTCCATTTTGCTACAAGCAGGCCCGAATTTCTTTTTTTATTTCTCTCTTTTTTATCTTATTTATTTATTTTTATTATTTAATTAAACTAAAATATTAGTTTAGGTTAATTAATTAGGTTTAGTTTTAATCACTTTTTTAATTAATTAATTTAACTAATTAATTTTCTAACTAAAACTAATTAGGTTTTTAGGGTTTTTTAATTAAATTAATTGAATTTTTTTATTAAAATTAATTAGTAATTTTAGGTTTTTAATAAATTCATCACAAACATTTTTCCTAAAAAATACCAAAAAAATATTTTCTTTTCTATTTTTCATATTTTTAGATCACCCGTACTTTCGCGAATGTAGTTTATTATTCTCACGTTTTTTGATTATCTAACTGTTTCAAGGGATGTAATAATAATTAGGTTTTACTCTTCCGCATTTCTATTATGTACTTGCCTCAAAGCCATGTAATAGCGTAAGACCTTTATTTTTCGGCACTTTATGTTTCTGCTATTATTTTACTATATTACTGCTTAGTAATTAGGGTTTGCATGAAAAGGCTAAAACAAAACGATAACTAACCCTAATTTCAAAGATAAACATAACTGAAACACAAATAACTTTGCACAATCGCACCTCTAGGGTAACCTCTCTTGTTGCCTCGGAAAACAGTCATGTCCCTCGAAAGTGGGGACGCTTTAGCAAAGACCCTCAAAAACAAAGATCATAGTCCCTCGATGACCCTTTCGACGTTGCCTTCGGTAAATGATCTAGTCCCTTAACAATAATTGCTAAAGCTATGATGACCCACGCCTGTCCCTTCACATCCAACGGTAGGACTTCCTACTAACTAATGGTAGGATAACACTATCTAAATGAGGAGGAAAATGCAAGAATGACCTTGAGTAGGGAAGATCTTAATCGCTTGCTCACAAAAACCAAACATTTTTCACACAATTACACTTTTCAAAATATTTTCAAGCAAACACTTTTTACGCATTCCCGAGGACAAATACGAGAATCATTACAAAGTTCAAAATATTTTCAAACAAAAT